TTTAATTGATTGATTTGAAGTTTAGGTTCTATTATTTAAGTAGATTATATAATGCATTCACGTTTGTCAACTCGAAGAAACAAACAAATAAACATAACTACTACGGAAAAGTGTGTATATTTTTTCCTTAATTGAGCACGGAAGAAAACCAAAAAGGGAAGTCAACAATTTGCCAAAATCGTAATTATTCTACATGTTGACCGGAGATGGAGTAGGGTCGTTCGCCACACCACGACTCATTAAAATCATAAGTCTGCCCCTATATATATGTATATACATAAATATATCATCTTCCGACCGACAATTTTTAGGCTGTTGAGTAGATTATCTCACTAATCTACTGGATTAAGCAAGATTTTGGCATACAAAAAGAATATAAACAAACAAATAAATTAAAAGCAATTTCTMTGAATTCACCTGGCAATCGACTTCCCAAATCAAGCAATGCTTTCATTCACTTTTATAAGGAAGTGCTTCTTATAAATATTAGTGAGGACAGTCGACATAAGTGAACAGGTTAAATGTAGTCAAATCATTTCAAATTAAAAATTTACTTGATTCAACAATTGTCCAATGAAATCCTAAAATTGAAAACAAGAAAGAGAAGTGCATGTATTTTGTGTGATGTTAATTGATTCTACCAATATCAAGGCAGARAATGTATTATGTTTATACATTCTCTGGCTCTTTTGCTTATATTTTTAAACGTTTACATGCACTCATATCAATTGATATGAATATCATTTTGCGATCCCTGCCGATGCGACGAATTACAACCAGAGAACGTTCTCTGCTTGAACCAACTCTGTGGAGCGCCATCTTTTGTGCAATAGTTTCCTAATTTCTTCTTTAAATATGAGTTTTCAATAGTTTTCAATGTTTTTTATGTTCCTAACTACAATTTAAAACATAATCGTTTAATATTTACGCTTTCTATATTTATTGTCATTCTTTAATACTTGCTTTTTGTATTTGCGAAATGGTTATATTCCTTTAGAAATGGGTGCGAATATCGTTGATGAAAAAAAAAATGACTAAAATTCATTTTTGAGTGCAAATACACAGAATATTGAAGGTATACTTGAAATTAATTTATAAATCTATTCAACACATTTATTACTTTTCAAATAAAGAATAAATAAAATAAAATTCAAAATAATTATACTTCACCCTATGAAAAACACGATATCCAAGTGTCGCATTGAATTCATATTGGCCGGAGAAAATACTCTCCACTCCACTGAACTGTCACTGCATAATTACAACAAAGCGAACTGTCAAAAAGTCGATTAACATCCGGCTTCGTCGCCGTCTTTCTTTCCTTTTCACGTATTTTGACAAGATGGTAGGTGGTGTAAAAGTTGCCGGGGAAATTCACTGCCATCGTACGTTTTAAATGTACCAATTTATTGAATAATTTACAAAAGTGTTGCTGAATATTTTGCTTTAATGTATATGTTAATATTTCGAAGTTTAATCTACGGGTTCGTGCAGTTAACCAATCGTTTGTTGTCGTTTTTTTTTTACTTCAGTGAAATAGCGTACTATTGGTGCTTTGGTAGTGAAACTCGCAGCTGGCTAATGATTATATTTAAAAGGATAGCGAGATGTGACAATGTACCAGTGTGTTTTGATTACAGGCGCGAGGTCCCAAGAAGCATTTGAAGCGTTTAGCAGCACCCAAGGCATGGATGTTGGACAAATTGGGAGGAGTGTTTGCTCCTCGTCCCTCCAGTGGCCCACACAAATTGCGGGAGTCTTTGCCCTTAATGATTTTCTTGAGAAATCGTCTAAAATATGCGCTGAATGGTGCTGAGGTGACCAAAATTGTTATGCAGCGTTTGATCAAGGTTGACGGCAAAGTCCGTACCGACCCAACGTATCCGGCTGGTTTCATGGGTAATGCTTCTCAAATTTCTTAATATAGAATATTGTATATCATTACACTGAAATCTTTTATTACAGATGTCATCACCATTGAAAAAACTGGTGAATTCTTCCGTTTGGTGTACGACGTTAAGGGCCGTTTCACCATTCATCGTATTTCTGCCGAGGAAGCCAAGGTATGTTTCGTACTCATTGCTTTAGTAAGATTCAAATAAATTGGCTTGATCGAAGACCATATAGTTATGATTCCACACAAATGTGGTTCAAAAGTAAGCCAAAAGCAATTTTTGTTACGACGGTCACTGAATGTCTTAACTTTTGTGATACTTTGGTAACACTTACGTGCAATTACAAAATTACTTGATGAATTATGAAGATTCATGTTAGTTCTAAAAACATATCAAATAATTTCTATTTAACTTATCCCTACAGTACAAATTGTGCAAAGTCAGGAAGACACAACTCGGTGCCAAGGGTGTTCCATTCGTGGTTACACACGACGGCCGAACCATCCGTTATCCCGATCCTCTCATCAAGGCCAACGATACTGTCCAGGTAGACATTGCCACCGGTAAAATCACTGACTACATCAAATTCGACTCGGGTAAATACCATGATCTGAATCAATTAAAAGGTCGGTAGATTTACRTATTGACTATTTTAGGAAACCTCTGCATGATCACTGGAGGTAGAAATTTGGGTCGTGTCGGTACTGTTGTCAACCGTGAGAGACATCCCGGTTCCTTCGATATCGTTCACGTAAAAGACTCGCAAGGACATGTGTTTGCCACCAGATTGACGAATGTTTTCATCATCGGCAAGGGCAATAAACCCTACATTTCTCTGCCGAAAGGCAAGGGTGTTAAATTGAGCATTGCTGAGGAACGTGACAAGCGTTTAGCTGCTAAAACTCATTAAGTAGTTATTTAAGAACGGTTTCTAATTTCATGAAAGATGGAAAATTCGTAATAAATAGAAATCACTGTAGAATAACTCGGGAAAACTGCATTTATTATCTATACTCTCCCCGTTGCAGTAAAAGAACTCAGTAGCGCGGTGTATYTTATAAAACATACGTAGGAGATGTTAATTTGGCAATAAGTGGTGAATGAGCTGATTTACGTACATACATATATATATGTATGTGTGGGATAAGTCCAGCCGAAACAGATACAGGGCGGTATAGAAATTTTGTAATTATATTGTTTTAAGGAAAAATAATTCTGAGGGATATATTCCAATGCTTCTAAAAATTTTTACAATTTTTCGCTAAAGTGCCAAAGCAAGGGATGAGAGGTTTTATGAACCCAAAAACGACCAATGCATAGAAAGTTATAAAAAAATCGCTTGGTACAAAATCTGGAAAAAMCCCACCTCTTCGCTTTTCTAATAGATCTTATCCAAATGTTGGGGACAAATAACTGCACTACTATTTCTATATTCTTGTTTTTCTGCAGATACTTATACTGCAATGTTTTTTTTTTTTGCTTTGTTGGTCAAGGTTCTAAATTTTGCTTAATATTTATAAGTAAGAAAAAATGTTATCTTCGGTTGCTGTTGTCCTTGGGTCCGCGTCCGTCCCGGTTACGTAGACCCAACTTCTTCGGTTGCTCTGAAGCTGGAATACCCTTTGACAAATAAAAATATCTAGGGCTGATAGTGAGATTCAAAACTTAGGTGAAAAAAGCACGTGGAATCCACGATTGCGAAAGCTACCAGAGCGCCAATGGTGTGCGAATGTCTAGCTTGCAGAAGAACAGAGTTATAAACCAGTCGTACCGTAACCAGCATGAATAATGCGATTTAAATTAAAACACCCAACATTTATTATGATTGCAATTTTCATATATTGAACTTTTATGGTACATTAAAACAACTAACTTTAACTAAGCGGCATAAAGGACATAAATCGCTACACTTCCCTCCATACCGCCGTGGAGATGACAGGAAATAGGTTAATTTCAGCCCTGCTGTCATCAGGGTATGTCAAGTACAAAGCAATAAGCGTTAAAAAACGGAGTGCCATTGGATATATTCTACCATTGGTACTTTCTCCTAGAGGCGATTTTACTTTTTTCTATAGGCGGATTCAAAGCCTCACTGAGCAGCAAAAATAAAGGACTTTACCCTTGAAGAGTACCTTCATAGTAGTACAATGTAATGTATACAGATAGTTCGAAAACAGCAGATGGAATTGGGGTTGGTATAGTAGGACTATCTACCAAAATATCAGTTTTCAAGCTGAGGCCTAAGATATATACATATGAATATATATATTATATACATATATCATTCTGGAAAACGATTTTTCGTTCTCAGTAATAGTCAGGCGGCACTTCAGGCAGTTTTGTTGGTTGAAATCTATAAATAATGGTACAGCAGTGCATAGAAATGCTTAGCTGCGTTCTCACTGAAATCAATATCCTATTAGTATGGAAGCTCCTACGAACAGTCGAATAGTACCTGAACCGTTCCTGGCTTTGGTTCTCTACACGTTACGAGATCAGGTTCAATAGATAACGCCACTATCAACAGATAAGAAGGCTTCTTGAGACTATGATACAAAACGGTTCAAGAAACTAGTAGTTCTTCTCAGAGACAAATTACACCAGCTTGTGGGATCAATGGCGCTTTTGCAATCAGCGGTGTCTTTCTGGGCRAACTTAATATACCTTGTGCGGGGTATAATAAAACAAAGTTAAAAAAATGGTTTTTCAAAATATCAAATTTCTTTCTGAAATTTCTAGAAAAAGAAAATTCGAAAAATCGTCTTCAAAAAACATCGAGACATTCTGGACATAAACTAGAAAACCGTGTCTCGATAAAATACCAGATGTAAGAAAAACATTACATTCTAACTTATACGTATTTATTTTATTATTTACAACGATCTTTATCAGCTGAAAAATGGAGGGTCTTGATTTATTTGTGAAAAGTCGCGATTCGTCAATATAAAAGAGAATTATTTTAAAAATATTTACATGATTATGTAATATAGAGTATACAGCTATCTCTAACTGCTGGGATGATGCCACGCTATTCATACATACAAAGATATGTGCATAACTAAAATAGAAAGACTTTAATGAAAGGAATTTTCGATTTTTCACTTGTTTTTTTTTGTTTTTTTTAACAGACAAAACAAAAATGGTGGCAAGTTATGTAATAAGGTCTTGGACTAAACTTGTTTTGAGTTTTCGGATTACATAACACAACTGAAGGGAAAAATATAAAAAGACGATAAATATCTGGTCTTATATATGTATGTACATATGTAATGAATATGTAAATGCTATGCGTTGTAAAGTCCTTTCATATTTCCTTTAAACTAACTACAAATACGTAAAAGATGATACAAAATGATGATGAGTGTATTTAACTAAATTTCATTCATTTATCTTAACAATTATTCACGATTTCGGTGAACTCCGTTTTGTGACTAATTTTCCGGAATCTCGACTATTAATGACTTCAGCATGGAATCCAGTCTCCCAATCGGCATAGTATTTGACTGTACGCACATTGCCGTCGGGTTCTACCAAAGAGTATTCACCTTTTACAACATCACCGTCACGCTCTTCCTTTTGATGTTTGATATCGCCGGTATAAGGATCGTTGACACCATACTCGAAGGCGTATCTTGCATGATCACTCTGAAAAATTTACGAAAAGAGATGGTATTGTATTACAAAATCTACATATTTTCTCACTGTAGTACACACATAATGTTCGTAGTGCTTTTCTGGAATCGTTTTAATTACAGCTGGTTGTATTTTGAGTGCCGGTTGGGCTTTTAAGTACGCTGTGGGACTGGCACTCTGCGTCAGTAGAGGCGATACTGATGGTGCATATCTGTAGAGTCCACCGCCTAATGGTCCAATGCCGCCAATTCCATGTGCATAGCCGTTAAGTATTTCTCCTTGGCTCTTTAAAAGTGGCAAGGCTGGTTGGGTTCCTAATTTCAATGTTGAAATACCTAAATTACTCCCGAGTCCATGCAAAGCACTTGTTCCCGAACCATCTAGTTTCAAAATTGGTGATAGACCGCTGTGTCCTAAAGCGATCGCTCCATAGTATGAACCATGCGCTATGGGAGCGGGGGAATAGCCAACTGATGAATAAAAATACTTATTAATTAACAGTTTCGAAAACGGATTACTTTAAACTTGTTTCTTGATACACATTTTGAGTTGGTCGATCTTGCACTCATCCGTATAACAAAAAAATAATAATTTTATGAATAAAGCGGGAAGGTCACAACACAATTAGCGGTTTGGATGTTGTGTACGGAACTATAAGCACAGTGTATTTCTGACTTCATTTYGAATAATTGATTAGCCTTGACAGCTAATCACAAATTAACCAAGAAAATAGATTTAAAAATGACTGAATTCCAGCTGACTTGCCTCATTAAAGATATGCGATGCGAGGTATTATGAGCTTAGTCTCGTAGCCTCAAGGATGCCAAGGCTCGAACTTTTGTAACTTGGCGAACCTTAGAGCAAGGAGTTAGCTAAAACTTATTTATTTTTAAGTAATTTTATAATTTTAACTTCATCGACATAAAATMACAATTATAAGGAGCTCAAGCAGTCTGAAAACTCATCAATAATATGCTTGCCTATATGAGGGTATAGTTAGTTCGAAGGTTTTATGTTACTTACTACATATGTATAATATACGTGTATAGGTACATTTACAAAAAGTTCAAAGAAGCTTGGATATCTTGTTCAAACTCGTAAGAGGTATTTGCATAAATAATAAAGCATTTGGATTATATTTGGAGATATTACTAAATTAGCATATACATCACCTTTTTATTTTTCAAACAGGATTTATGAATTCTATTAGTAGGATAATAAAGTACTATGACAGGTGGGTTAGGTTTAAGGTTTTCATATTTAGGTCACGGTCACCGGTTAAACAAATATAAGCAAGGATAATCGCAAGGATAATCAAATACATTTTATATTATTACTTGAGCTAAGCGGTGTTGAAGCGGAATAACTGTAGCTAGATTTGCCAGAAAGCGGTTGTGCCAAACTGGTTGCGATTGGAATTTGCTGCTGTTGTAGGATCGCGCCATTGGATAAATATTTACCCAAACCTAAACTGCCAGGTGAAGTTAGGGTTAGTCCAGCTATACCTGTTTTGGAAGATATACCGGAGTATTGAGTGGATATCGCACCACTTGTGGATAATCCACCTAAGCCGGTACTTGTATGGATCGTTGATGATAAGGCAGGAGCGGCATAAGTTGCTACTTTTGCTATCGCAGGACTAGTTACCACTGTCGCGGCGGCGGGTGCAGTGTATGCGTTAAGGTTGCTTATCGTGACGCTGGAGCCCGATTGTAGTATGGGTTGTCTGGAGACGTATTGTTGTGAAAATGAACCGCTGGAGCCATATTTTGCAAAACCCGTACTTGATTGGATAGAGGTTACGCCTGGAGCTGGATATGCTGATGTTTTTGCTATACCGAGAGCAGGTGCGAGATAACCTTTAGATGGGGTTGTCAATGTTGCAGCTTGTGTGGCGAACAGCAGAGATTGTGCCGGCTTTGAAACTTGTTGGTGTGAAATAGCGCCTCCACTAGCGTAGTTTAGAGATTGTGAACCCGATTGTATCGATTTAATAGACGAACCGCCAAGTTGTATGGTAGCAGCTGSKGGAGTCGTGCCGTAGCTGTAGCCAGCCTGTGATACGCCTAATCCAGAAGAATATTGGGTAATTGCAGGTGAAGCGTATACGCCAACCTTTGCAACGGAGGGAACAGCAACTGCTGCTACTTTTGCCACAGGTGCTGATCCATAACTTACGACAGGTTTCGATACATACTGGTGAGAAACTGCGCCATCACTTGCATATTTTACGGACTGTGAACCTGAGCCTGAAGTATATTGAGTAAGAGCGGGTGTTACTATAGGCGCTACGGCGGCGACTTTCGTTATTGCTGGGGATGCATAAGTCAACGGTTGTGACACAGCTCCACTTGTTATACCGAGACCGGATGAATATTGCGTGATAGCAGGTGCGCTGTAGACTCCGACCTTTCCCACGGCGGGTATAGCAATGGCAGGAGCAGCGACAGTCGCAACTTTCGCCACAGGTGCTGGCGCATAACCTACAGTCTTCACAGGCTGGGATACGTACTGATGTGAAACTGCACCACCACTTGCATATTTCACTGACTGTAATCCTGACTGCAAAGACGTTAAGCCCGATCCAGAAGTGTATTGGGTATGCTGCTGTGATATAGCTCCTCCTGAGGAAATGGAAGGAATGGCTGGGACAGTAGCGTAGGTACCATGTTGGGAAATTGAACCACTGCCTCCATATTTAATGGATTGCAAACCGGAACTTATCGATGTTAGACCAGAGCCCAATGAACTTGATATGCCATRGGCTGATGAATRTTGTGTTACTGCAGGAGTCGCATAAGTGGCCACTTTAGCTATTGCTGGAACGGCAAGCGTAGRTACTTTTGCAATTGGAGCAGRTGCATAGTTCACTGTTTGCACTGGTTTGGATACATATTGATGTGAAACAGCGCCACCATTTTCGTATTTGACCGATTGCGAACCTGTGTGTAGTGAAGTTAATCCAGTGCCCGAAGCATACTGTGTTAAGACAGGTGTCACAATTGGTGCCGCCGCAGAGATCTTAGTTATTGAAGGAGCTGAATATGTAACTGATTGTAGAGGCTTGGAAACGTGCTGGTGCGATATAGCACCAGACGAACCGTAAGAAGCATAACTGCCACCGCTAATAGATGTTACAGCTGGAGTTGCATAGTTTATAGATTTCGATAAACCTTGACTAGATGAATATTGGGTGGGTGAGGGGACGGCAATAGCCGGGACCGCAACCGGTGCCACTTTAGCTACTGGCGTTGCGACGTAATTTACAGTATTTAAAGGCTTCGAAACGTATTGATGCGAAACTGCACCACTGTTTTCATACTTGACAGATTGAACACCCGTAGGAATAGAAGTTAGTGCTGGTTGTAAAATAGGTTTAATGACAGCAACTTTGGGTGCTGCAGGTGCGGTGTAAGTTAATGTTTGCACCGGTCTAAGGACTTGTTGATGAGAGGTGGCACCACTGGAAAGTCCGTGACCTGAAGAAATYTGAGAAATGGTGGGTGCTGCATAGCTGCCATATTTGGAAACTCCCAAACCGGAAGAATACTGAGTAATAGAGGGCGAGGCATAAGTTTCAACTTTACTGAGAACCGGAATGCTAGCAGTCGGGATTTTAGCAATTGGTGCAGCAGCATAGCTCACAGTCTGCACTGGTTTCGAGACATACTGATGCGAAACTGCACCACCACCGGAATATTTTACAGATTGTGATCCTGAATGTATGGATGATAAACCGGAGCCTGTTGAGTATTGTGTAACAGCCGGTGTAACAACTGGTGCCGGAGCTGAGTAAGTAAGTGGCTGTAAAGGTTTAGAAACTTGCTGTTGGGAAATTGCACCGCTAGAAATTCCATGACCTGATGTATATTGTGTAATAGTAGAGGCTCCATAACCGCCAAGCTTAGAAATTCCAATTCCAGAAGGATATTTTGTTAATGTGGGTGCAGCGTAAGTTTCGACTTTTGATAGAGTTGGAATAGCAACAGTCGGCACTTTTGCTATAGGTGCGGCCTGGTAGCTTACTGTTTGTAACGGTTTTGAAACATATTGGTGCGAAACTGCGCCACCACTTGCATACTTTACAGATTGAGATCCGGAATGAATAGATGAAATGGATGGGGCTGCATAACCTATCGGAGTTACTGCCGGCGCTACTAATGGTGTTGCTATAGTGGCCACCTTTTGTACACCAGGACTAATATAACCGACAGATTGTAGAGGTTGTGAAACAACACTGCTGCCAACGCTTAGAGAAGCACCAGCGGTGGGATATTGCGCAATGGCTGGTGCGTACGATGTAGATTGCACAGGCTGTGAGTTCTGTTGATGCGAATAGGCACCACTTGTTCCGTACTTTGAGAAACCGGCACTAGAGAGAACTGCTGGTGCGACGTAAGATTGCACTTTAGAGACTACTGGCGCTACAACTGTAGATATTTTAGGGGGAGCCGGAAGGCCGACGCTAATTTGTTGAATAGGTTTCGAAACATATTGGTGAGAGATCCCTCCACCTGTSCTATATTTAGAGAAATCTTCGGAAGATGTTAGATATTGGGATTGATATCCTGCTGAAGACGGAGCGGTTGAAATATATGTGCTTGCAAGCTTCGGCGCGTACGAGTAGGAGCCAAGTGGATGGGACGTTTTTTCGGCCAACAAGTTACCTTCCAAATTCGTTAATGATACCGAGGCTAACGAATTTCCTAATTTTTCTGTGTAAGGAGCGCTATAGGATATTGCTGGTGCATATGATCTTATAGGCCCAGTCTGTAGTGGATTAACATACGCAGTGGTTTTCGAAATTGTTGGGCTGGACTGGTAGTAAGAATAACCAGATGACTCATATGCAGCACTTTTTGAAATAGTTGGCGCAGACAAACTTTGTAATTGTATACTGGGTAATGTGGCATACGATTTTGATAACCCCGGTGAAGTTAATGCAAGTTTTGGCACGATATTAGCGGCTGGCGGTAAATAMGCATTAGAGATCGTTTCCACCTTTGGCGGTAGAAGAACGGTTTTTGAAATAGCAATTTGGGGTTGTAAAATACCCGGCGTTTTGAGCGGTTGGTCTGCATATGTAATACCTCCCTCCTTTATTGCTGCATTTGCGGATATTTGTAGTAGTTTTTCACCAGCTCCACTCTCGTAATAAGATTCGGAGGATTTTAYCGTATCAACATTTAGATATCCGCCATCTGATTGGCTTGATAATTTATATTTAGCTCTGGCAGGAGTCACTGAAAGCTGGACTTCCGGTGGTGGATAAGCATAACCGTTGGATGCTGCGAGTATACAATCTGGAATCGCAATTGGTTTCGTACTAGCCCACACTGTGCTACAAAGGCACAATAATGCTAATGCAACCTGAAAGTGAAAATAAAAAATACCATAGCATGAGCCCGAATAAGATAAGAATATAAATTATAAGAGAAATTTAATAAAAAACTTTATGACCTTAGTGATTAAAATCGGGTTATSTATATATAAATGATCAGGATGACGGGACGAATTGAAATCCGGGTGACTATTCGTCTGTTTGTGCAAGCTATACATTGAGTAAAAATGAGATATGTTGATGAAACTTTGTTACACGTGTTTCTTAGCAAAAACGCTCGTAGTCAGAAACATATGTATAAAGTGCCATGACTAACCCGTAAATTAAACAGATATCGAATTTGGCAGAACGAATCATTTAAAGAAGGGTATCCTATGGTTCGAAAATCTTTGAAAAGTGCGTGTGGTCTGCTCTTAAAGGTTTAGGGCATATTCCTTCTTGTAATTGTGTGAAAATTGGTATAATCGGATGTGACCCCGTTCGCTCCCAATAGAGCGGTACTAAAAGTGTGATAGCTAAACAACTAAATTTGCCAGAGACATTAAAATGTATATTCAGGTTATCGTTAGAGGGCCGGTTTCAAAAATKGACGATGGGCGTGGTACGTCCTCAACCGATTTCGTTTTAATTCGGTTCATAAGATTCTTCTAATATTCCAATGTTACAGTACTAAAATACTTCCCACAAAACATAATTTTAATTTCCATCTGATCTTTCATTCACTCTTGATCTTGATATTATATATAAATAAAGTTCGGGGAAAATTCATTACCTAATATAAGTATTTTCGAACTTACGGGTGTCTTTATGCAACATATATCGCTGAAAATGATCTAAATTTGTATCTAAAATGGATAAAGTCTGGTGAAAGCTTGCCCTTGCCCCCATATAACTAATATTAAAATTTTCGATGATCCGGCTTAACTTTWTGCATTCCAGAGGTCATTTTATTAGCATGAGCCATAATAATAATACGTGTTTTTGGCAAAAATTGGTAAAATCGGGTCGATATTACCCTCAACTCTCATATTTTAATRTTAAATTTCACATGCACCTTAAGAAATTTTCTGATATTTGAGTCTTACAAGTTTCAAAACTTCTGCTTGATATTTATTTGAACTAAGTGGTCTTGCATTCCTCTGATTAGTAAGGTATATTGAAAAGCAATAATGCTTAGTAAGTCCTCAATGAGGGTGGTCCATATTTCTGGGAAATGTCATCTTCATAATCTTCTTTAGAACATTCTATCTTCCACTAGACTCTAAAGTTACAAGCYAATAATTTCATTGGAACTCATTACTTTATTGTTAATTTTGAAATATCTTTTTACTTTAAACGTAGTAAGAAGTAATAATTATTTTATATTTTACGCGAAATGAAATGAAATATTCCTACACAAATTACATCATCACACATCCTTCAGAATTTTAAACAGTTTCCAAGAATTTGTTGCAGTTGTTTGTTATTGCACTGAAATTTATAAAATTTACACTTCCATTTCTGGCATCGACTAGCTTACACAATTTCTACAAACCATACTCGTATTGTACTATGTATGTATGTATTTAGATATATATTTGATGGATCACACCGCGATTGTTCAGTGTGCTTATAAACACTCACCTTCATGCCTTGTTCTCTTGATATTTTTTTAATTACAAACTGTTAATAATATAAAATGTTTTTCGAAGTCTTCGATTTCACTACATATTAATAAGGTCCTTATCACATTGGACAGTCACTGGCAATAGATCACTTAATTCAATCCTTTATATATATACACAAACATATCCAATGATAGAATTGTTGATTTTGTCGCCGGCGCGCGTATCCTTTATAATGGGCGTTAACGGTATTATTTGCGTTCCAACGAACTGAAGCGTCGCGAAATACTACCAGCTAGCCAGGCCCTATTGTCGTTTATATACGGTCAATGTGGACCCCAAACGCTCACAGCATCAGCGACAGCGGCTTCAGTGGCGGCAGCAGCGGTGATGGCTGCGGCAGTGGCAACAAAAATTGCCTAAACATCCAAAAAGGCTATGACAAGAAGCCCGAGATTGTGCATACACGCACACAAACACACATCTATGCACTCGTATAATGGCATGAATCAAAATTATGAATTCGCAAAAAGGCGAAACATGCGCCAAAACGCTTTTTGAGCAAAACAAACAAAGCAACGACAATTGGTGCGTCTATTACTATTGGTTGCGCCGACGCAATGCACTTTGCAGCTTTTAGTTTGTTTATTGGTGTTGCCGTTTGCTACACTTTGGTTTATGTTCTCTGCCTAGATTGTTACATATGTATATATGTACATATGTATGTACAAGCATGTAGTATATATAACAAAGTATAAAACGAGTGCACGATTTTTCGGCAACCGAGCATGCGTAGCTGCTGCGCCGATACGGGTGCGTTGAGTTGCGTAGCTTTTCTTGCTTTTATTGTTGTTACTGTTGGTGGCAAGTTTCAGCGTTTCGCTTGTGAACGCATGCCCCACCTTCACCAATACTGACTGAATACTGAAATATACTCTTGTACTTGTATAAGAGATGTTTGTGCATACAAACATACACATGTGTGTATTTGGGTCCATGCGTTCTTTTATAATTTGTAGGAGCGTTTTCTTGAACAAAGCTAATTAGAAAATTGTCAATGACACAAAGAATGCATAATTTAGATACATCAAATATAATGGCATGCAAAAGGTGSTTTTCATATACATATATACGTATAAAAACTTTGAAAATAGACCCAAAACTTTCCTTCTGCGTCAAGTAGTATTGAAGGCGTCTGCAGAATAGCCTTGAGAGCCGAGGCGCATGCTGTTTGGATCCCCTTTCTTCGRCCTTTTTAGGCAAGGAACCAAAAAAAGTCCCGGGGCCACATCTGAGCTCTAGGGCGACTGCGGAAGCGTTGGGATAACGGCCTTGGTTAGGAAGCTGTTCACAAGAAAGGCGGTGTGAGCCGGGCGTTGTCGTGGTGCAASTTGCAACCGGCTGCGATGTCTTGTCGGACTCGATTGACCCTTCGTTTTAATCTCTTGAKGACTTCCATGTAAAACTTGGCGTTGATGGTTTGTCCAGGAGGAACAAATTCATGTTGGACGAGRGTGAGGTCAAWAAWGACAATGAGCATCGTTTTYACTTTAGATTTGCTCATTCTTCCGGTCTTCATCAGGTRCCTCTTCTCGCACTTCCAAAAAGGCCAGGTGCCACCGAAACGCACCACTTCTTGCTAAAGCAACGTCTGGGYAAGCCTGCTTGATCATATCAAACGTCTCTGTCACATATTTACCCAATTTCACACAGAATTATATCGCGTACCTCTGCTTGCACCACTCACAGAAACACGCCGCGCGRAAATGTTTGTCCTGACTCTCCTGGTGGTCGGAGACAACTGATCAGCCATTCGTTCGTTAGCTAGAAACGCCTTCTACCGTAATCAGTCGGTGCGCGCACGATCCGAAGTACTTTCGCGGCGAAAGTAAATCAGTCCTTTTATTTTCCGAACAAACCTTGTATACCTTATTATATTGAGTAGTCAAAAAAGATTTTTCGTATTTCTTATCAAACTTCAACTTATTTTTATTTTTATTTATATTTTTATTTTTATACTAGTAAATAAGTAAACAAATATGTACCATTTTGRTCGACCACTTTTTGCCATTTTTCCGCTAGTGACATTATGCCATCAGTGTAAAACTTTCATCAGTATAAATCAAAATTTCGAAATTTCCAGAACGGAAGTGAATAAACCATTGTTGTGCTACACGAATTGATACAGCATCGTCTCCGTAAACTTCACAAATTTCATTGGTGGCTTGCGTGGMATTTTYCCTTTTTTATACAAAAACTTCAAAATATAGCAAATATCTTCATTATTTTATCACATTTTTGTACAGTTGCAACTTTTTCTCAACTTCCCAGCATTTAATTTTAATATTTAGCTTAAATTAAGATTAAAATCTCATCTTTCCAACACTATATGGTATGACACAATGTGATTGCTAGCCYTGGAGATATGCGACTGCAACAAAATATATATAGACAATATACGAAAAGACTTTTTCAACTACCCAATATAAATTCTTTTTATATAGGAAATACTTGTGAATGCTGGAAACTAATTTTTTATGACGTTACATTAGACTTCTCAAAAAGCTGAAAGCAATTGTTCAACATCTGTTCTTATTGTCCACAAAATTTTTACTCTAACGTGATATGTCAGTTTCCGAGCAACTCCTGTCCTAATTCTTACCAACATAACATCTACCCTCCGGTTATCAAATGCAACTGGTTATGAGTCTATAGCTTGTCAATTTGTGGTAATTGAAATTTTGAAAAGCCCTGCAATTGATTTAAGTGCGAATTCTGGAATATTTTCACGTATGCTCTAGCAGTGTGTTATCTTTTCGGGATAATAAAATTTTTGCTTAAATATTGCCTCATATAAATCTGCGTACATATGAACTTATGATCTCATGGCTTAATTACACACACATGCACACATCTCGATAGCCATAACTTCACACTTGGCATGTGTACAATTGTGTTTGCGTTACGAATTCACTGCTATAAATTTCAATAAACAAAAAACATGAAACTAATCCGAAATTTCGTCATGCAAATCGATRTGAATATGTAATTTGGCGTTGGTCTGCTTTTTATACGCGCATATGTCTGCGTGTTTCACGTCGTGTGCGTGTGTGTGTGTGCATGGAGCTATAAAGTACGGTACCGCAGGCAGTTCATAGTCTTATGTAATGAGAGATGCAGTTTTCTCCTTTGGCGCATTCGCATTCAGTGTAGAAGGCGCAGGCGCAGGCACAGGCGCTGACGCGTATGCGTGCTTGTGTCAACTAMGCCACGCCAAGGCATGTTAGACTGCGTGCTAAAGCCAGCAGCACTAAGTCAAATGGCATGTAAATCGAATTGAGYTGAGATATACTGAACTGAAATGAACCGAACTGAACTAAACTTGTTCGAATTTAGGTTACACACGCACTTATTTTAGTTTATTTCGATTCGAATGCTGAAATTAAAATTCAATCAAATTGCARAACAACGCATTGCAGGACACTGAACTGCACTCCCAAGCCTCATATGCCTCACAAGCCGAGCGAGCACACGCGCGTCATTTGTCGTAGGTAACGCATAAATGTTTGATGGCGAAAAATGTATGAATCTGTCGTATCTGCATGACCAAATAGCTTAAGTTGTTGGGTGCTAACTACGCAATACATACTCCCATACATCCACAACATGCGTGTACGTGAGCATGTATGCATGTCGGTCTCGTTGTATGCTGGTCTACATTACGTAGCATATGCGTTTTTAATCTAAAGGAGCTGATCGCATTGGTCAACTGGGGCGGCGGTGAATTATAAAACGTGTTTATATTCAATTAACGTCTAAAATGAATAAGCAAATGAAGTCGATATTCAGTTCGAATTCAAATGAAAAACTTATTTTTCTTTATACAATTTTTGAATATGTGTATCAGCTTTATACTGCGATGTGTGACCAACTCTGTTTTTAGGCAAGTCAAACACAATTACTACTACATACATATGTATATGTATATAAACTTGCAAATGTAGTTGTATTTGCATATTATTATATATTCTGAGATAAATATACTTGACCACGACATACCGCAGATTCCACTTCGTCTTTCCTTTCACTTACTCTACTATGCATACATATCGTATTTAACTTATTTGTTTTTGCAAATTAATTAAATAATTTTAAATAGCTTAGATATCTGTAAACTGGGTTGAAATGATCAATTTCAATAACGTAATCCACAATCCACGGTTCTTCCAACATGCTTCTACTTATATTCTAGCAAGATTAGACCACTGGTCACAGGCCTTAACAGTCGTTTTAAGCTCTCAAAAACTTCAAGGAACCATAGTACGCATACATGCAAACGATGATCATCTTGGCTACGGCAATATATATAAGTAGATATTTACTTCAAATAATATAGAAATACACTTCATTGACGTAACATTTAAAATAAAGAATATGAACAAGAAGAAATCTTTAACTTCGGTTGCACCGAAGCTGGAATACCCATAGCAGAAATAAAATGTTTCCACATAAGAACTGGATTTTGATCGTTTAACTTGGCAGTTATATGTTATATTAGTCCGATATCGCCGCTTCCAATAAATGAACAGGTYTTTCAAGAGAGACGACTTGTACAAAATTTCGGATCGATAACTCAAGCAAAAACCAAAGAACTAGCTCGAGTATATATAGTACATACATAGGGCCACGATTCCTTCTAGGTCTTATAAACTTCGTGCCAACTTTAATATACATATCCTGTTCAGAGTATAAAATTAGCAAATAGTACGGTGGGGTTAGGAGAGGTTAGGTTAGATGGTTGATCAGTGATCACATGTGAACTGGTATATATAGTACTTTGTGAGGCCAGAGAAAAAAGAACTCATCTGTTGGGACTTACATATTGACAAAACGCTTCGTAGCCAAAATAAATTTACAAAGGCAAAACCTTGTTAGCTCATYAGCTTTTTAATTACCTGCGATTCCGTTATGGCSCGGCACCCATCCCAGTCTTACCACAAAGACACTTGATGCTGTTGATAGTGATRTTAGGCACTTTTCGAACAGCACTGAACACACCCTAAATGAGTTCAAGGCTAGTATCGCCGCCCTGCTATCTGAGTGAATGGTCACTTCTCTAAAGGTGACCGTACTCCGGGGCAGCAAATTCACTGCTACTTGATAGATGCAACCTTAGCCTGGAAGACACTACMATAATCAGGAAGTCTAAAA